TTCTGGTGCAAAGCTTCAAAATCATTGATGGAGAAACAACATCACCCAGTCAGATGGGGAGGTAGCATGGTGTAACATTCAAGCTCCTGCAAAGACAAAGCAGGGTTTTGAACTGAAAGAATTGGGGAAACAGAAAGAGACACCCTGTTCCTTTACAGGACCCCTAGAGTTTTGAGTGCCAAATGAAACCTACCAAATAAGTTCCTCTTTCCAAGGGAAAGAAACACAATCTTGCAGCTTGCACAGCTAACTCCAACCATCAAAACCACCATAGATAAGAAAATATTTATAATGCTGCTATTGGGTTCAAAGAGCAAGGTAAAGCATTTTTATGAGCAGTTTTCGAATTCAGAGAGGTTACTTCTATCCTGGCCCCAGGCACAGGCCAGACTCTTCCCTGGTTGCTTCCTGTGAGTAAGTGCGATTCTTAGGAAGGCAGGACCAGTGTGCTGACTGCTCCTTGTAGATCAGATTCTTTCCTCCTTGCCAGAAAGGGATACATGAGTGCTTTTGAGAGTGTCCCTGGCATGACCATCTTCAGTTCCTGGAAATAGGTTTATATAAACCAGGTCAAATGGCCATGATTCCAGGCAATCTCATGGAAAAGGTCTTCTCCACTTTACCTTTCTTTTCCACAGTAATTCGTCCCTGACTTTATTATAACATGGAAGTTTACTGGCTATTTATGGTATCCCTTTCCCTACTCCTCTCTAACCCCCAGAAAAATTCAAGAACTAACGCTGCTCAAGTCTTTAGTATTATTGTTTTCAAGATGAATGCTACTCACATTTTTTAACTGTATGAAATCATAGAAACACTATCTGGCCGTCATAATTTGCTGTCTTCTTCCCACTAGATTATCCAGTTACTACTCATAATAGGATAGGTATAGGTATAAGTGTACATGTAGGTATAGATGTAGTAGCACACAAGCCCAACTTGCAGACCCTGGTTCTTACGCTTATCAATGGCACCTGAATCCTATTCACCTGAGAAAATGGGCAGCTATGTCTCAACTTGTTAGTCAGGAGCTTCTTTTTTGCCCAGAGAATAGGGAAGACATTACCACAGACACTAAGTCTCTAGCAACATCAGTCATCAGGACCCATTTTTCACTTCTGCATTTTCTCCCATTAGATGTTACTTCTCTATCCCTCTTTCAGGTTTTCATCTTTACTCCTCTGAACCTTTACCTCAGCCTAAGTGATTTCTTTCTAGTTAGCGTTTATCTGCTCAGGTCATCCATCATGCTGTCAATCAGACCTTGATTGGGCCCTGCCAATTCCAAATGTAAAATCTCTTATGATCATTTGCTACCCACAGGATGAAGTCTAAATTCCATGGCCTGGCTCTGTCTTCAGCCTTAATCTCCCAGCTCATCAGTGACTATACCCTTCTTGTACTCTTTTTGCTCTTGATATTTTAAGCTCATCATTCACTTCATATTTCTAACACAACATACGTTCTTACACTTCTGCATCTTTGCTCTTACAGTTCCCTTTTGTTTGGGATTCACCTTCTCCTACATCTCTACTTGATTAAATTCCTCATCCTTTAAGGTCCCCTTCAAAGATCACATCCTCTGTGAAAGGCTTTCCCTGTTCGCTTCTGCATCTTCCCAGAGTAGAGCATTCAGTCGTCCCTCAGTATCTCTGGGGGATTGGTTCGAGGACCTCTGCACAGATACTAGAATCTGCAGATGCTCGAGTCCCTTAAATAAAATGGCATAGTGTTTGCATATAACTGCATAGTATTGCAAACCACCTATGCATATCCTTCCATATGCTTTAAATCATCTCTAGATTACTAATAATACCTAATAGGATGTTAATGAAATATTTCATTATTTTCAATTTGCATTATCTTTGTTTTTTAAATACTTTTGATCTGAGGTTGGTTGAATCCAAGAATGTAAAACCAACTATGCTTCCCCTTTCTGCGTTACCACAGCAAATTTTTCATAGCTCTACCATATATGACAAGTGGTTGTTTGTGTATCCATTTCCGTCTTCATCTCCACGATCTGCAACATAAACACAACTACTCATACTAAAATACTACATTTCATGGAAACGAATAAGCTGGGGATGTCACTACTTTCCCATGTAGCACAGGCAGAAACTAAAGATGTCTTCCTAAAGTCCTGGACAAATTTATGAATGGAAGAGCCACAGATGGGTATCTATGAAAAGAAGCTGGCCTGTAACCAAGATTTAGGGATCAATCCGAGAAAGACAACCGTTTTTCTTCTGGGTTTCTGTGGTTTAAATAATGCTGCAGGGACATAAGTTTTAAGCTGTGCAGCAACCTTTCTGTACCTAATTAACTAGGTGGTCTAAAGATGCACAAAAACATTGTCACTACCAAGGAAGTGCATAGCACTAAACAAAAGCCCAAATCCATTTATGCCAGCCTAGCTTCATCATTGAACTCTATTCATCTGTGGACATGTTTCAAGGCCTTTTTTTCAATTACCATGAAACACTAGTAGCTAACCTGGTGTGCTGACTCTCAAAAGGGAAAGTAGCCTTTTAAAAGAATCTTAACTCTACTTCTTTCAGCAGTAAGCCTTGACCTTTTGTTGGTTTGTGTAATTCTGTTGTTGCATAGTTTGATGGTATTTAAATTTGAAACATCAAGGATATGATTGAAAAGATAGTACTTTATACCCCAACCTTGGTTTTATTTCTTAGCTTCCAAGATGATGCCATTACAGTCATCCATTTGGATGTGTAAGTATTGGAGATATTTCTTATCAAATTGAAATAGAGCACTTTCAACTTCAAATAATAGAAACAAATAAGGAAGGCCACAAACAGTTCATTTTATAATGGTGACTTACAGAATCTGATTTAGGATTCTTAATTGAGCTCCTAAACCAGGCTCTCTTCCTCCTCCACAACCTCTGGGAAACTGTGCTATGAGTACATGTAGAACACAAACAAACAAAAGATTTATGTACAGAAATCTGCCTGTACTTTATTCAGAAATTGGGGTGGTTTGCAGTGAAGGTGCATCATATTAACAAAATTAGATTACAAGAATTGCTTATCCCCTGTGGCAATTTCAGTCTAATTCTCGTAAGACTTTGGAAACACTTTAGGATCCAAAACAGAATAATCAATTTAGGTTGCTTGGATTATTAACACAGTTAATTAAAGAAGCTCTGGGAAATTTTCAATGATTAGTAAGTTTCCTGCTTCATTATGGCTTAAATAAAACAAAAACTGAAAGAAGAATTTTACTTTCATACTAGTCAAGACTCCACTAATGTCCTTTGCCTATTCCCCAGGGACTGGGGACCTAGAAAGCCCAAAAAGGATGTGGGGATATGTAATGATCATCCTCAAAAGTTTAATAACACAACATTTTCTTGAAATGATCTAGCAAAGAATTCACCCCGATTCTGCTGGCTGAATGGGAGACCTAATTGCCATCCTCTTCCATAAAGAATTATGGAAATATTCTAGCCCACGATGAGATTTTTCTTTCTTAAAAATTTTTGCCCTTTGAGTCAGCACCATGTAGTTAAATATTATACTTAATAACTTCAAAACCCCTTGAGGGAATGTCTCACCAGTCACTTACATACAAGGAAGTACATGGAATCTAGTTGAAAGTTGAGAGTCGAAAGTCTGAGTTGAAAGTCTGAACTCAGTCAAGTTAGATTTCCAGTTACCTAATTAGTTTAAAATACACCAATAAATATCATCTGTAGAGTGTTACAAGACATCTGACAAGATGGAAAAACTATGAACTCTGAGCCAAGCAAGTGGAGTTCAAGTCACAGCTTAGACATTTATATCTCTAATATTTAGGGCAAGTTACTTTATCCCATGGAAATTCAGTTTCGCTGTCTTTTAAAGTAATGTTGTAAAAGGTAAACATGCTGCTGCTTTTTTTAAAATTTCAGGGTGGCTGAAAGATAGCAAGTGCTCCAATAAGGGAAAACAAACCTAGATTGGAGTGTGGGAAACTAGGTTTAAGTGAAAGGGGAAAAAACAGGTGTTGGGGGTAATGATCTAGCACTTATAACATGGCCCTCCTAACTAGGTGTCCCCAGGTCTGTGAATGTGTGGCAGGTGAAGGCAAGTGGATGAACTGGATGATTTCTTAAGGCTCATTTCAGTTCTGTTTCTTGGGAGCACACTGGGAATTTATCAGGAGACTTGGCTCTCTAAGAGGCTACTAAGCAAGTAATTTCTCTTGGTTCCCATGCCCATAAAGCTCAAGATTAAATAGTCTCATCCCAACAGACATAGACATACAAGGCAAGAGCTACAGTAGAGCAATAACAAAGGAAAATAAATAGGCAAGATCAATAAAAGAAAAAATAAAACACAAAGAGATCAAACACTTTAATAGATCCATTTTGCAAAGCATAAAGCAAAACCAAATGATGACAGAATTTTATTTTCATAAGCATTAAACTCACTCCCAAACAACTTCGTATAAGGAATGGCCCATCACTGAGAATAACAAAGAAGACATCAATTTCTAAGAGGCCTCATACTATCATTATCATTTGTTCAAAATGAAAATTCACCTGTCTCAGCACTGGATGCAAGTCTATTGGCCTTGCTTTTCTAGATGATGTCATAAAGTGAGCAAGTTCATGCAGGTGGTTATTTTAAGCAAAGAGTAGTTTTAATCAGCAAGTTTGTATAAGTGTGGGATGAGGGCTCATTAAAACTCTCACCCAACCAACCTTAAAGGCACTGTAGGCTTTCAGTGGGAGGACTATCATTGGCTTTTCTGCCCTGCTTCCCCTTCCCTGAAGTTCCTGCTCAATCTCACACCTCACTTTCCACTAAGAACACAATCAATTCAAAGCAGGTTTCCCTACCCTTTAGCATCATCATTAGCTGTAGTGTAGGTAAGAACAGACGCCTCTTTGGGAACTACAGTCAACAGCCAGAGGGAGAGAGGTAGGGAGGCAGAAAAGTGAGGGAAGAAGAGAAAGAACAGTTTCAATTTCTGCTGCACCACATCAGCCTCACCTTGCAGGAGCAGACAGAACACCTGTCTTCTTTCAAGGTCCACACCTGGCCATTGCGCTTCAGCCCCCCTTCATGAGGACAGTCACCAGAGCAGGAGGGCCCAGAGGGGCAGAGACAGTCAAAGCCCCCTGCCAGGTTGATGCAGGCAGAATCGTTCCAACAGGTGTGAGTTCTTAAGGCACATTCATCGATGTCTGCAATATAGGAAGCACAGAGGCTTAGAATCTAGCCAAGGGAACTGAGAACAAACCACCATCATTTACAGCAGCATTAACTAACATCATTGACCGTTTACCTCGTGCCAGGTACTGTGCCAAGCTATTCACACGCATTATCTCATTTACACTGCAAGTCAGTTCTGCTCTGTGTGGGAGGATCTGTCCTTATTCCTATTCTGCAAATAATGGAGCTGAGGTTTATAGACTTAAATAGCATGACCATTGTCATACAGCTAGTGAGTGGCTGATCCGAGACCCAAACCTACAGCTAGCTGCCCGACTCCAATTACTAAAACATCCACTAGCAGTTAGGAAGCTCTCTTAGGATGTTCTTAAGAACGATTTCATCCAGAGGCCATAAACACTGTTAATCCATTAACAGTATGCATATACCCCCATGCAGATCTGAGTCTTTTAGAAAAGATGTGAATATATTAGCCACTGAGTAGGAACAAGTGGGCAATTTGGGCAACCTTGAGACAATTAGACTGCTCCTAGATCCTACCACCAAAGTTTGAAGGAAGTGGGAACAATTCTTGGTAGGTGCCTTTTATAATCAAAGTCTTACTATCGTAATGGCCAGGAGAATATTTGCCCATGCATAAAAAATAATATCAGAGCTACATGGATGGATGCTGATGAAAGACATAAATATACTGTCCTGCTCTTTTATTGACAGTAAGAATGGAATAAAAACATAAATCCAGTCAGCCCATTCTGACATTTAAAGCTTGAGCGACCTTAACAACATCTCAAACACAAACCTGTCCAACCCTGGCTTAAGTCCTTCCCCAAAAGGCGTTCCATTACCTTACAAAATACCTGATTCCACCTTTGAATAACTCTTTTGAAAATGTCTCCCTTAAACTGAGATGAAATATATTACTGAGTAACTTCTACTCATTAGTAGAAGTACTGAGACTTAGTGTCTGAGACCATTCAGGAAGTGTCTACGAGTTTACTTGGTTTTAGTCTATCTGCTATGTGCAAGTTTCTTTGCACATCATGCAATACAAAGTAGATGACATTAAGAAATTCTAATATTTCTAGAAGACACTTTTTTTCCAAGATCTACTTTTTGGCTTTGTCTTACCAATATTAGTTTTAGTCAAGACATTTCATTAGTGAACAATGATTTCTCCTTTGAAAATTACAGAAAAGATCTCAAATTAAGATGCCTGTATGCCAAGTCAACTAAAATCAAGGCTCACTATATCTGCTCACTGTTACTAGTCATGCACACCCCATTCTAAGTTTATTTCTATTTGAACATATTGTGCTCCTTTCATATAGCCTCTCTTATCTCTTCAATCTTCTTTCATTTCTCTTATTCTTCTCAACTAAAAGGAGTTTTAAATGTGGGAGTATGGTGACCAATGTTTGAAACCAAGCTCTTACTTTTTAGTTGAGTGCTTACTATGTATGAGTCATTTTACACATAACAGTTGTATATTCTTTGACATGCTACTTTGTTTTTCTCTCATTTATCTTCTATATACACTATACCCACCCAATGTATGGTCTTCCAAAAATTTTAAACCCAGCATAGCATATAAATGTCATCTAACACTTCAATTGTTATCTTGTGTGTCCCCTCCCTTTTCATTCAAAAGCAATGAATACAAAATTTCAGTTTAACAGAAGGTATAAATTGAAGAAGATCTATTGTCAAACATGATGACTGTAGTTGATAACAAGGTATTGTATTCTTGAAAATTGCTGAGAATATTTTTGTCACAAAAAATAAGTGTATAATGTATATGTGTGTGTGTGTGTGTGTATATATATATATAATGTAGCTTATTTAGCCATTCCAGAATGTATTCCTATTTCAAAACATCATGTTGTATACCATAAATATATATAAAATGTATTTAACTGAATTTTTTTAAAAAAGCAATGGGAAATCCACAAAGAGGCCATATTGTTTCCTGTGAAGCAACTGTGTCTTAAAACATGTTTTTTCTTATTATGAGAGTATTCTCTCTCTTTACTTTTTCTTGGCCTATAGGGAATAATATAAGGTATAAATTAATTAATTGATAAGCACTTTCCTTCCTGTACTATTTTCACTCCTACACAGTCTTAAAAATTCAGGTTAAGCATCACCATCTCTTATATGGCAAGACAGTCACTACAGATTTTTTGCTTTCTCTGTACCTTATGCACAATTCTATCCTTGCATTCACCTCTCAGGAGTTACATGTTTAATATGTCTACCTCCAGAGAGAGTGAGCTCATTGAGGGCAGACAATAAATTTTATTTCTCTTTCTCTCCCCAGTGCCGAGTATAACAGAATACTATATGGATGTTCAATTTATTTATTCGATTTAACTTTCTTAGGAAATCCACAGACTGAGACTATTATAATGCCTACTTTGCCAAAATTCGGTCTCTAGAGTGTTCAATAAGCATAAGGCATAATCACAACCCTGCCCTTCAGGGAACACATTTTGTTGTTGAGTTCTCATCTGTGAAGGCCCTTGGGTCTAATTTAAAGTAGAAAAAAATACAGCAAATTAGTAACCATATTGGAGAAGGGGCAATGCCCTGCCCCTTGCCCAGGAAAAAAAAACATTTGATTTTCTGTCAAACGCTTGAGAACAAGAGCAGAGGAAGCATTAACAAATGGCTCCAGAAATTGTCTGGAAGTATAATTTCAACCCACCCACCACCAGTGGCTACAAAAGGGTCTGTAATTTATGGCTTTCTCTAAAATAATCTCTAAATTGACAACTAATGCCCGGCTATATTATGCTTTTAAAATATTTGGTTATTTGGCATTTACAAAGTTGCAAATATATTGGTAGTGATTTTCTCTCATAAATTAAGAAGCCTGAGCATAAAGATAAACATAGCTATTGTGCACAATAAATACAGGGCGCAAAACCAGGATTTGCTTTCACTTCTCCAGAATGCAAAGATTTCACAGTTGAATATAGGACCATATTGCCTACAGAGTTCCATGTAATTGCTTTACTTATGATACAAAAATCTAATTCTGCTTCCATGCAATTTAACAGATTTATGGAAAGCCAGATGTTAGCAATTATGGAAACCAACATTATTCATATTCTTAGTAATACAGACCTGTTTGCTCTGCACAAAGCCAACTTAATCTATTATACATATCCCAAGGCATCCAACGGGAAGAGGCACCCTATTTACATATTGCAACTGTTGTTCTGTGCTGAGCAAACACAAAGTTATTCACCCATGAGACTTACCCAAATCATCAGACAGGCCTCCCAATGACAAACAGGCAATGAAATAAAAATTAGACGAAGTATTTGAGTATTTCGTACTCAAATCTATTATCATTAGAACGTACTTGTTTTTCTTATTGTAAATAATGGCTGACTGTGATCTCTCTGTGTTTCTTCTTATAAATTCATTATTCAAATGCTTCATGCTTAAATGAATTTTTTTTCAATAAAATTCCATGGCTAAGCTTGCATTTGAACTAATTTTCTTGCATTAGCATTTTCACAATTTCTGAAAGCTGTTATTATTGTACTCATTTTTGCTCTTTAAAAAAGTCTAGTTGTATCAAGTCAATCTGCTTTCATCTTTGATGTGAGGTTTTTAGGTTACTTGGGCATGTAAGAAAGTATAATTCAGAGATGTTTAGATCAGCAGCAATCAAACCAATCCCAATCTACATGCAATTTTCCTACCCTTCAAGACAAATGGCTCTGCAGAAGTTTTAATAGCATAACCACTGTATTAGTACTTGCCTCGGGAGCTAACACATCTACAGGTTGATTTCAGAAATCAAAGGAAACATTTTACCAACAGTTTGGTAACAGGTTAAAGGAATGAACTTTTTCATTACTCCATATTCTTCTTTCCTGAATAACTTTTACAGCACAACTAGTCTTATTTTCAAACTCAAAACAGGTGATGTGTCAGAAAACAAAATTTTACCTAGGGTTGGAAGATACAGCTGTGTGTGTGTTCCTACTTGGAAATCATTATGAGTGGCTCAGAAATGAGAACAGAGCTTGGGGGTTTATTAATGACAGACAAACTAGAGCACAGATCCCTCTCCAATAGCTAAAGCAGTATTGGTTTTTTTTTTTGTTTGTTTTTTGTTTTTTGTTTTTTACAGTGGCAAAGAGAAAATTATGGGGGGAAATATACACATTACACATTAGCAAAATAAGTAAAATAATCAAGTAGCAAAATCTGAAGTCTGATGTAACTTGCAAAATAAAAGACTACTGAAATTTGAACCTGCACAATAAATTCAAATCCAGGATAAGCGGTGGCAGCCATGCTCTATCATGTGCTGGCCATACCACACTTGGATACTGTGTTCCCTTTAGCACACAGACTATGAAGAATGAGGTTGACAGTTAGAACACATCAGAAGAGATCCATTAGCGTGATGAGGGGCTCAAACTCATCTCACTTTGGCAAAACACAAGATGTTCAGTCTGAAAAGACAAAGACTAAAGGAAGAGATAAGTGAGCGATAGCTTCATCTATTTGAGATGCTGCTATGTATCTTTCAGGAAGAATTTTCAACACCCCTTTAGCATTAACTCTTCACTCACTGTTCCAGCCCCAAATCTTTCCTGAGTCAGGAAGAAACCCTTTCCTATGGTGTTCCCTTGTTTGGTGTATAATTTCGTTACTCTGCAATGAATCTTCCCCTTTCTTTTAATTAAGGAGACTCTCTCTTTTGACAAAGGAAAAATAAAACACGTTTTGGCTCACTATTTCCTTGATCCAGATTTTATTTCCTAGTATCTACAATTAGCAGCTATCCCCATTTACTCATTTTCATTCTCCCCTGAATGTGTGTAAGCTTCCGTGGGACCGTCTTCTCAAAGGCTAAATCTTGAAGTCTCTCATAACCACTTGTTTGCAAAATCATCGCTCTTGCTTAAAAATATTATAACAAATATTGTTATTATTTCAGTCTAAGAGTTCTCTCTGTGACCCTTCTGGAATATAATATTGCCCTCTT